TTGTTATTTTTAACGCGTAATAACGGATAGCATTATTCTTTATATCGGCGTAGACATGCAAAAAGTTTTCAGAGTCGGATGCTGCATCGAGAAGGCTAAGAAACTTATTCAAGGCGACGAACAATTTCCATGTTAATCACCTGAGAAATGCGAGAATTAAACTTTAGTTTTTAAGTGTAATTACACACAGTAATACTCATAATTGTCCCAAGAAATTGTACGTGTTACCACGACTTGGGAGATAATTATAAATGCTCTATGCTGAAATTCGTGCGGATGATTTCTAATTCGTATAATTGATGCAGATTTTATTCCGCAAAGATTTTAATGTATAGAAATGTACAGAAATGCAATTAAAATGTATAGAAATCTTTTGATATATATTTTTTTTATTTATTCTTTTCCTTTACGATTTAAAGATCAAAATACAATTCTTGTATCACATGCAAAATTTTAATTCGAATACGTTCAAGCAGCGTTTATTTATCAAACTTTTATGTGAACTCGATTGTGTTTAAATTAAATATGCATTGTAATTATCGCTTACTAAAATGATATATGCGTACTTGTGATATGTACTTTACTTTATGTAAAAGCAAAGAAGATATGTAATCTTTTTAGATTCACCCATCAAAAACATATGTTAATCAATTTGACACGTTGAGCACCGCTTTTAGTGCTATTGAAAATTCATTCTTATTGTAATATATTCGAACCTACTGAATTAAGACGTTTCAGACGCAAACGCTATTTTCAATTTTATTAATCGAATTACTTAGAGATTTCCTGTGATAATTCTCGTAAACGATTTTCGTCATTCAACGTGTTATTATATATATCAAGCGGACCGTTTCCGATCATTCGACCGGAACAGTTTCAGAAAGTCGTTCGAAAATTAGCGTATCAATATACTCTATAGAGTTTCATTTGATTTTATTTAGCTCCATGACGTTTCTCTTGAATACATTTCCATCAAAAGTCATTGATTTCGTGAACCACTTCGGTTGCGCAAACCGTGATACGCTTTTCAATACCGACAATATCCGAGCAACGTGCAGACCATCTGCATTGGAAATCAAGTGAAAAGCAAGATATTCCTCCGCTTCGATGGTCGCCCCCAGTTCAATTGGGAAAATTTCAACTAAACCGCTAATCAATGGAATCCAACGGTTACAACGAAGAGAAGACGGGGGATTAAGAGATAATAGTCTGTCGGCGGTTTAGCATGGCGGGGGCCTGTACGAATCGGCGAAAATGAGAGACCGGTTACTCACATTGGACGTCGAGCAGGATGCTGGCGTTCATGGGCATCGTCAGCCTGACGTGCCGCGCGACACACACGATGGTAGCGTTGTGGTGACCTCTCAAGACCTTAAGGTGAGCCCCACTGTGCCTGCCAGATGTCGAGGGCAACACGGTCAGATTGTCCGGCGGTTGCTCCGGACCGTCCAAAGTGGCTTGAGACAGAGTCATTCCCCATGCTAAAACAGGCGGCGGGTTCCCACCCTCGGCGGCGCACTCCAACGTCAACTCGGAGCCCTCTTTCACTGGCACAAACTGGTTTCCTGGATCCAACCTACGCCCATCTATCAGCAGATACGTCCCCCGAGGCGCCTCTGTAACAAATCCAAGCATCCGTTGAGTCCTTCGATTCGTGATCCCGTAACGATGAAAAATCTTATTGTGTGCACCGGGTGTACCGAAATCGTTTCCGCAATGCGCGACGATAACGTAGCACATAGGGTAGATGTCACGGTTTCCGTCCCAATTTCCCCCGGATTAAAAGCATGTAGAGAAAGAACAGTTTTATGGTAGGTAAATAATCGATTGGTACGCGTAACGAAAAATATAAATCGTAAATTTATGTATTAAATAATATAACATTATTAATAATATAATATATAATAATAATAATAATATAATATTATAATATAATAATATTATAATTAATAATATATAATAATAGTAATAATAATATAATACTATAATATAATAATATTATAATTAATATTATATTATAATATAATATTAATTATAATATAATATTATATTATATTATATTATAATGTAATATTATAATAATATAATTTTTCTATACCGTTTTAATCCGAGAGCACGGAAACTGGGACATCCACCTTAGTGTAATTAATATAATAATATAATTAATATTATAATATTAATTATATATATTATAATATTAATATTATATTATAATATAATATTAATAATATAATTTTTTTTTCTATACCGTTTTCCACGAATATTGTCGTATATAACAATGGTTTCCATATTATACGCCAAAGTTACAATCTATCGCACTACAGTGATTTCTCCCGGAAATGCCAAATTTCGAGTTGCTGTGAATTTCCTTACGAAGGAAAGCATTACAGCTTCTCGCGTTCGCTCCGAAGAGAATTCATTCGTCGGTCTCGTCACCGACCAGGGCAAAGAGTCTCGTTACAAGAGACCCGCGAACTCTTACATTAGCAATTCGGAAATAGTCCATCGTTCGGGACAACCTCTTCTCCATCAGTCGGGAACGTACGGTTACAATAATTATACGCGGAATCACCGCTCCACCGATCCGATCCAATTGCCCACGATTAATTTGGCGGGCAACTAATCAGCGACACAGTAATCAAAACGCGTCCACGATCGGTTCAATCCGGGCCTTACAACCCCGGACGTATTCAGAAACCCGAGCGCTAATTCCTGTGCTTCGCAACGTCAATTCACGGGGGTTGAAAACAGTTACGATGTCAGTTTCAGTTCTTGAAACGGTTATGAAAGAACTGGGAACACCTCAGAACTCATAACCGTTATAAGATGCAGTCCGCGACAAAATGTTAGGAAAGCGCCCGATTTTTCGAGTTTTTTCTTTTTTAAATCTGTGATGGATTTACTGTCCAGTGCCCAGAAGAAGACACAGCTACACCACAGCTCTGATAACGTTGAGGCAAAGCGAAAACATTGAATTTAAAAATGTCGCTAAAAGTTTCAAAAGTTTTTCAGTTTCGTCCGCTCTGTTAGGTTCAGTGTTGATCTCGAATAAACAGCAAGTTAAACTAATTAATACGAGTAAAAACATCGTGCCCTCGAATGCGTACATTTACATAAAGAACGAAATAGCGAAAGGACTATCGAATCCACTGCCACGTATAAAATCTCGTTACTTACTCGATTAATTCGAAAAAGTGGGATCCTCGTAAAAATGTGTTTGTTAGGCGGATGGTTTTATCTAGCTACACAATCCCGTTACGGAAAGTAAATTACTCGGAACGCTTTCATTCCGCGTGGAACACGGTTGTACCAATACGTAGATTCGAATTCAAATATTGCCGCGATTATACAATATCGGAAGACCGTTTCCACTCCCAAGGAATATTTCATAACAGTAATGACCACGTTCCCATTGTCTGAGAAGCTATCAGGAAGACAGCATAAGTTATCCGGTCAGGGAAGAGAATGGAAGCAATAAGAATCATGTTTTCCATTCAAATTGATCGTGCTTATGTAATCGAAGTGTGTGCCAAGCGTTTCAACGAGATTCCAGAGTTTCATTCCCGATAAGATCCGGTCACGTTCATTAAATTCCGTCGTTGCCTCGGCCTTGCCAAAACGGCTGCAGGAGACGTCCCTGAAATGGTTTATAGAAACGAAAACGCGTGCAGATTTTCCGAGCGGGCACCAGAAATTGCAATCTCTGCCACGTGCTCCCCGATCCCAGACAATAAAGCACGAGCGCGTTCGAAACAATATGTTATTTATTAATATATTTTAGTACCCGTTGTCTGAATTACTATCGCTGGAACTATTAGGTCTACCGGAAAGTTCTGTCCGATAGTGTCACTTCAAGTTTCAATCCACATGCACATGTTGATTCGAGACATATATGACTATCTCTCTTTGTCATTGCATTTACACGCATGTACTCTCCTAAATAAACTGAAACAAAGATGTCTCGTGTCATTATTAAGCGAGACGCGATCGCGAAAACATGGCTACCGATGATAATGCCAGATCACATGCTGCTTTGGCGACTCGTCGGAAAATCGTAGAGCCAGGCTGGGAAATTCTGTCGCATTCACCATACTCCCCAGACCTAGCACCCTCCGATTATCGCTTGTTTCTCTCTTTGCAAAACTTTTTACAGGAAAAAAAATTCAAAACTGAAGCTGATGTCAAGCAAGCGCTAGTCGAGTTCTTCGCCTCTAAAAGTAAATCATTTTCTAAAAATGGCATTTACAAGTTACCATCACGCTGGTAAGTCATAAGTAACGATGGAAAGTATATTCTACGATAAATATTATTAAATGTGTGCAAATTGTGTCATATTTCAATTCAAAAACGGACAGAACTTTCCGGTAGACCTAAT